TGATCGTCGAAACCAACTGCTCAGATGTGACGGAAACTGAAAGCTCAAAATGCCAGCCAAGTCTACATCCTCACTTAGAAGTATCCAGTACAGCAGGGGTATGACGTGTTGAATGTTAAAAGTTAATGTGATTGAAAATTTAGATACAAAACCTTTTACTGTCCTACTAATAGAGGTATACAGTTCCAGTGCCCTACTGCAAATATTATGTATCGTATCAGAAATATAAAGTTCTGAATAAAATTAAAGGCCATTCTAAAAGCAGTTTTTTTTTCCAGGAGTAAGACTTCCTAGTTCAGAAGACAGCATATTTACCTTTGAGATGCTTTTTTTAGTGCGGACTGTAGAAAGGGAACCACTTGTCAACAGTAGCGGCCATGTCACACATTCTTTTGATTCTACCACACATGGCAGAACTCTGTGTCTCTGGTTTTTCCCTCACACTTTGTGTCTCGTATACTAGGTGCCACTTTAGTCAGGCTTAGGCTTGACTGCCTCCATCACAAAAGGTCTTTGCTTCAGGTCGGCCTTAATAGCTGCCTCAATCTCAGCACGTCTTGCACTTCATCTATTCCAAAAGTTCCTTTTCTTCAGAGGAGTTTGTTTTACTTTCAGTGGAACCTTAACCTTTTAGTGTTTTACATGATGAACTGTAGAGGGTTTCACAACTGAACTAGAGATTTTGGCAAGCTACAGACGATGATTTGTGCAAGGTGATCTCTAATTTTTTTATAGTCTACCACTGCAGTATTTCTGTTACTATTTGTTTTTACTGTTGACTCTTTAAATATATGCTTTTTGGCCCAAACAATGCCTCTCAGTAGAACTAAAAAACTTTGAAAAAAACTGAAGGCTTTATTGCCTTTCTACATCTATAATTTAACGTCACAACATCAGTGGAAAGGTATGGCATTCAAGGAAATCAAAGTATGTAAACCAGTGGGGGTTAAAACAAGACTTGTGATAAATCAAAACCTGAGTTCATTTAGGGCTGGCTATAGCAGCATTAGACAATTTATGTTTTAATATATTCCACAGGACAATGGATTTCGCAACTGATTATTTTGAAAGTGATAACGACATAAAATTGCTCGAAGTTAATAGTAAACCTGTAAACTGTTTTCTGTATTTTTTCCTTTTGGTGGTAGCAGCATACATACTTTTGGAGTGAAAATCAGGACTTTGAGATTATTGCTTTTTTATTTGTTTATTTGTTTTTTTCCATTATAAACTCTGCCCCCTATCATATAGTGGGTTGCCATATTATTGACATTTTATGATTAGTTCCATATTACCTGTAACGTTTCTTAAGTTGTTTTTTTTTTTTTGGTACTGTATTTCAATTTTCTTTGGTTTCATTTTTCTTAACCTAGTTTGCAATGTCCCAAATTGAATTACCTGGACCTAACATAATTGTGTAATTGTATTTCCCCACTGTTGAAAGGATTGCCAAGCGCTTAAAGTCAACCTTAAAATGATTCCACTCTGTTTAGTTCACCCTTCATTCTTTTTTGC